TATCAACTGTTCACGTGTGTCTGAGATCTGCAGTGATATTGATTTTTCAGCCTTCAGCATGAATTAGCACCAAGGTTGCTTCTAATCCTATTGAACTAGAATCTAGAATCTGCTATGACATTTTTCAATGCTTTTGGATCTTAATGTCCTAAAGTTCCACTCCTTGTAACATTGTTTTTCAAAACTTTTGAAGGCATCTTTCTATTCTCCATCAAATCTGAGCTGTTCAGTCTTTCTGGTCAACTTCTTCGATAGATCAGCCATGATAATAAAGTTTGGGATATACCTTGCACAATAGCTCACAGGTCCCAGAAAATTTCTTCACTGGCATTTTGTTGTTTATTAGCCTTTGCTTTTGTTTCTACCTTGCCTTTGTCTGGATTTGTACCATCATTAATGAATCTATACTCCATAAATGTTAGCTCTGTCACATTCACCAAGAAATTGCCCGCATTTACGGTAGTCCCGCTGATTGCAATCTAGCCACAGTCAATCTCAGCCTCTCCATCACGTTCTTCTCTCTTGACTTCGTAGATATTGATGGTGTCTGAGATATTGTTGTTCCTGGGATCCATCCTATCACTTTATGGATTTCACTTGGTAAATCTTTGGTGTCGCATTGATGCCAAATATGAAGACTGGTATGCTTTCATGTCAGCAAAGTCCACAGTGAGTGACAAAATTTGTCAACTTTTTTGAATCGAGATGAAGACCCAATTAGTGGTCTCCAAACTTTAAGTCCAATTTGGAAAATGTCTTGCTTGTTAACAATGCTTGGAAGAGGCCTACTAAAATGGAGTTGAGGACTTATCTTTTCCCTAATCCATCCAAGTCTATTTTAAAATTGCAATAGAAACTTCAGCAACTGCCAGTGTTATCAGATTCCTAATTTCAATATTAACATGAGGCCTGTTGGGAAAGGACCAGTAATGGTTTCCACACCAGAACTAACCTGATGGAGTATGAGCTGAGTCTAGACAGAGGCCATGTGATGTATCCTATAGATTGTTTTAACTCGTAGGTCAGGAAGAGTAGGTACTTTCAAGTGACACAATGGAACCTTGAATCAACTCTACTCCTGGGGTTCTCCCATTTCCTCTTTCATTGTTCTCCCTTCCTGCAAATGATATTGGTTTCCCAAAACATTTAGATCCAATAGGCAGCCATTCATCTGGATCCCTAACACTGGCCTAATGCTGCACAATTATAATACTCAAGCTACCACTTCCAACTGATTTCCCACAGATTCATTCTGGAAGTTAGTATGCAGCAATGTTAATGTAAACAGGCCAATCCTTCTAAACAGGCAAGCAACTCGCCTTCCAGTGTTCTTTCTCAGCAGTTACCATGCTCACTGTTTCTGTGTTCAGTCATAATTATTTGGTTCCATACCTTCAGACGGTAATAAAAGGGTGCATCTTAACAGAGCACTTCAAATTGTATAACAGAGAGAAACATCCCAAGTTCATTGTAGAGGACTTTTTAAAAATATGTGCAACAAGCGAAAGTAGGAGATGTTAGGGGCTGTGAACAAAAACTCGGTCATCAACGTCAGTTTTTAAGGAGAGTGTTAATGAAGGAGGTGAAAGCTGATGGGTTTTAGGGAGGCAATTCCAGAACATTAAGAATCTAACGAACTAAAAGAACAGTTACCAGTGCTGACATAGAAAGGAGGGCAGAGTTTGGGAGGTTAGCTGTAAAGCTGAAAAAAATTCCAAGGCTGTGTGAGAGATTTAAATGGGAAGATGAGATTTGAGACTTCAGGGCAACAGGCAAAGGAGTGGTGGGTGGACAGGACATGCTATGGAATGAATCAGGATCTGCTGATTTAAAGAACACAGACTTCAGAAGATCAACAGAGCAACAAAAGTTGGGCAGAAATGGACAACATATAGAAGGAAAAATGGCTAGTCTTTGTGATAGAGATGATTTGGAATCAAATTCTCAGCTCAAGGTCAAGTAAAATGTCGAGATTGCAAAAACTGGTTCACTTTGAAGCAGAGATAGCAGGGACTGCCGATGCTGGAGAAGGGTCTTTTATAATGGTGGTAAAAATGGTCTGTCAAATTTTAACATCCATCATCCAAGACTTACACCCAAGACTTTTCTGAAGAAGTGTCCAGACCCGAAACATTAGCTTTCCTGCTCCTCTGATGCTGCCTGACCTGCTGTGCTCATCACCTTGTTATCTCACTTTGAAGCAGTTGCAAGGGAGAGAAATGCAAGCCACTGATTACATTTGCTGTTGGTGACTGTTGCTTAAAACAGCAGCTGGACCTATCTCAATGTATGATATTGTCAAGCAAAAGCATCTAATGAGGAAGAGGAGGGGCTCGAGGACACATCCCGGGGATAATGTTGTGAGAAGGAAGGGAAGAATTGAAATTGGAAGCACACATGTATAATGTGCCATCAAATTCTTCAACTCCTCCACACCTGCAAACAGCACTTGCCTTATGAGATAAGACAGAGCTAACATGGATCACGCAGCTTTGAGAAACTGATCCTTAATTAACAAAACATGTGATCAGTAAAGAAGCAGTAAAAACTTTGGAAACAGGCACAGGGAATCAGGTCTCTTTAACAACAAAGGAAATAGACTCATTTCAGTATACATTTTAGAGGATGAGTGTCCAGAACACTGGGCATTCCAACCAGATTATGAGCCCAATCCTAATTAAGTCTCTTTGGAGTTTTTAGTGATCCCAGCACATGAGATATGTACAGTCCCTTTGCACTGTAAGTACTTTTGTCACATTCTTGTGTGTTGTGGCCTCAGAACTTCAGAAAGCAGGTGCTGACACGTAAGTTGCTGATATGTTACTAATGCAGATAATTGCATCATGAACACAGATTTCTCTTTGAAAGGCTATTGATGCATATAATTCAATATGTTGAAGTTTTGTGACATTTGCACTTCTCTCAGGTCCAAATTGTTCACTTGATTATATTGCATTGTTCAAAAACATCCTGACTTGGAAATATATCATCATTCCTTCAGTATTGCTGGGTCAAAAACCTGGAACACCCTGCCTAACAGCATTTTGGGTCTACCTACAGGAAACAGACTACAATGATTCAAGAAGGCAGATCATTGCCTTCTCAACAGCAACTAGGGTGGGCAATTAATGTTGGCCCAGCCAGCAATGCCCACATCTCATGAACAAAAACAAAATTATATTGCATGAATAAGATATTTGAAATCTAGAAACATAAATACAATGATAAATCGGTGCTAAAATGTTGCATATATGTTTGGGGAAGCACAAGTATATATTGCTATTTGATATTTCTGGATTCCAAGAATTAATGTTACTGGTTAAACCAGTTACAAAATGAGCATAATCGTGCCCCAATTAGTGGCAAAGTACAGTCTCCATCAGCTGACACTAATGCTCTTCTGAAGCTGATTGACTGACGCTAATTAAATTGCATACCACAAACACGATGTGTGAGGAATGAATGGGCTTGGTGCGTGTCTAGGCAATTCAAATAGTACAAGCCTGATGCAGATGAAATAAGCTTACAGATGTAATAATTACCGAAGAAATCAAATCATGCTACATTTTAACTGGTTGGGTACTGTAAAACAGCATTCAAAGCAGATTCAACAGTAAGAATTCAAAATTATTTCTTTTGTCAAGTGTTTATACTCTCTTTTTTGTTTTAACTGTGATATTTGGGCTGATCTTCTTTTCCTGGCACTACTTGTTGCACATCATACTTGGAATGCATCCTGTCTCCCTAATATCTCCAATGTTCCAAGCTCTGGAGCTTCTCC